TAAATGGTAAATAAGTAAAATAAACTGACCTGGGTAATTTTTACTTTAGATATTAATACTCAGAAAACCAATTTGAAACAACAATAACTATGCAAACTTTCTAAGGCATCTGTAATAATATACATTACTTTTTCAAAGCTGAATGAGGTTGCCTTCTTTTATTTCAGCCATTTTTACTAGGTCACATCTTGATCTCATTTTAGCTGAGGTGAAATTAGGTCAGATAGTTAATTGTTAAGTGACTTAATGTGCACACTGAAATTATGCATGGAAACCATAAATCAGTCATTGGCAAGGGCCAAAAGGCGCAGCCAGATAACTAAAAAGCTATCATAGTATTTTTCCATATGCACTACCAAAGTTCTTAAATGAATGTGATATTTTTGGAACATAATTCAACAACACCATGGTATCTTTAAGTCATAGTTAGACAAATAGCTAGTGAAAGACATAGAAGCCATCAGCGAGAGCTAGGCATTTCCAAAGCTTTTCCCCCAATTACTTACTCACATATTCGTATCAACTTAGCCATTTCAGATTCTGTAGCAAAGGAAGGCCAATGATCCAGAAAGAAATTACAATAAAAAGCAAGTGTAGGATCTTTAATAGATAGGCTGGTGCCAAATAATATTGTGTTCCGGACCTGGGAGTCTTATCCTGGCTACTTGCACATTTCTTAGCTTTCAGGAAAGCAAATTGCTTCTTTGTCCATAAAAGTAAAAGTAAAAAACTGAAAAAAGCTCTGTCTTAGCAAGTTGAGCCAAACCCATTTCTACAGTGAAAGCAATCTGTAACCTTATTCCATTTGTTGTCAAGTCTTGTTGAAGGAAACTGGGAAAACCTTGTTTTCAGTTGAAATTTACTGCCAGTAATTCAGCATACTGAAATTGGCATAGGTTTGTTTGAATTATTCTATCAATCCACTATCTGAGATGCAGAGATCAAATAAGGGTATCTGGCCTTCAATAAAAATTAATGGAGAGAAATAATTAAGTGTTCATCTATAATGACAACACCCTGTCTGGACTGCATGTTCCAGATAATTAACAGAGAGAAGCAAAAAACTAGGTTTTCTATTTCTTTTCATTTGCTTATCCAGATCTCTATAGGCCAAGTTACAAACTAGAAAAGAAGACAATGATTATGTTTACTTATTAATAAATGATTTCTTTAAACATGCCACATTGGAGATACCACAATGGGTGGGATTGTAAGTGCAATGAACTAAAAATAAACAAACCATAATATAGTTAAACTCTTATGTAAATTAGGTCCATATGTACTATCTACAATATGCTTTGCATACTTGAAATGCTTGGAATCAAGGAAGAAGAGGTGTTTATGACATCTATCTTACTTATTTTTACTTGTTCCAATAGCCTGGGAATTTTCTGAATTTCTGAAGTCAAATGTTACAAATAGTTATCATTGCAATAAAGATCAATTGTGTATGCACAAATCTAATACTGTAAGGATTATATGTATCACAAACACATTTTTTATTGCTGATTCTATAGGTAAAACAGTAACTCCAGGTTGAAAAGTAGTATGTAAGTTTTTTTGTTATTTATTGCTAGGGAAATTCTTGACTTTTCTTATATAGAAATTTAAACAACAGAGATTATTTTTTCACATCAAAGGCAATCAAATTGCAGTCAATTGAATTTTAATTACGCAAACATCAATATTTTTCTTACTTTACCAAATTTCTACAAGGCATATTTTAATAATATGAAAATAACCATTGGATAAATTCTTTTCTTTCTGATTAATACCCTCCGCACTTCGCTATTCTAATGCTTGCTTATAACACAGAATCCTATTAATATTTGTTGAAGCCTTCATAAAAGACACTGAATTTAAAATGTGACATTGTTTTGACATAAAACAAAGAAAATACTCTATAAATCCCTAATCTGTATGAGTCATAACACTGGAAGATTTAAATCAACGATTATCTTCAGTTTTTGATAGTATATAAAAACTTGAATTGTATATGGTTCACTTATTTATGTTAAACTGAAATCATATCTATCTTCAAATAAGCTCCATTTAATTCAACAAGACTTATACGTCAGTGGAAGTTTGTAGAATTATGCTGTACATTTCTTAAGGCTGCTTAAATGTTCCTGAATGTGAACCAATTTTTAGAATTTATTCTGGATGAAGATAAGTCAGTGGAGGCCACAAAGACTTTCATATGGCCCTCCAGCATTCAGTTTTTCTACTTAATCTGAATCAAGCCAATATTTAAGAAGTAAGAAGTTCTCTTTTAATGTTTCTTTTATAACATTTTGCTTTGTGCTTATTTGTGTATGCTGAGGATACTACAATTTATTTTTGGAATTTATCTTTTTTTTCCCATTTTTAAATTTTCCTCAAGGTTTGGATTATTGCCCTGCCTACCATGTTAACAAGTGTGTTTTCTCCCTTGGTTATGGAATGGAAACTGTCAGGAACAGTTAGAACAGAAAATGTTATCCTGATAGTTCTATATAATTTCTGATTTAAAAGAAAATGATCCTTCCAAAGTAAAAAGATGGTGCTGGCGAATTTGTGCCCCATGATAATTTACCGTTAACTTAAAAGATGTTGAAGATTTCACCCACCCTTTGTGTCTTTTCACATCTCTATGAAATGACTTTTTTTCTGGTATCTTTGCATCACTGTTGATTCCTGGCACTTGCCTGGTATAATCTCTACAGGGTTTTTGACAAAGTTTTGGAGAGACTTGTCACTGATATTCATCCATAATCAATGATTATGAAAAGTACTGGAATTGGATCTTAGTTGTTCCTAGCACTACACATTTCTGGACAGAGAACTCTAATGTTGCACCTGGGATATGTTTCCCACCTTAGGAGCCACTTTCCCACCTTAGGAGCCTCAGTAATCGCTAGGAACTTCTGGGTCTTGCTTTGGCAGTCTTATGCCCTTCTTTGTCCAACTCATACCAGCAGGGTATCTGATGACTGGCAGTACATACGTGGTAATGGCGTGACTCTTGTTCTTCTTATTGAGCTAGTTCTTCAGGATCTGTCCTATCCTTTGGAGGTACTTGAATGTTCCTGCCTTCCTTACCTCATATGATTTCCATGTGACTGTAGAATACCAAGATACTTGTAGCCAGTCTGTATGTTTGTTATGTGATTCACTGGTAGTTCCACCCCATCAGACCTTCTCTTTACTACCATTTGGCCACACTTCTCCAATCCAAATAACATCCCAGTGTCCTTCCTGTAGATCCATGTCAGGTGGATCAGTGAGTCATTGTCTTTTTAATTCTTAGCATATAGCTTAATGTATAGGAAGGAAGGAAGGAAGGAAGGAAGGAAGGAAGGAAGGAAGAAAGAAAGAAAGAAAGAAAGAAAGAAAGAAAGAAAGAAAGAAAGAAAGAAAGAAAGAAAGAAAGAAAGAAGATGACAAAAAATAAAATATCATATACTGATATATCCATAAGTATTCAGAAGTATTTTCTAATCATTAGAATGTGTTTAGCAATCTTAGGATAATAACTTAAGAAGTAACAGTTGTTCTGTAGGAGATGACTAGGCAAAGCCCAAAGGCTGGGTCAAATGCATCATCAGTTTGGAATCCTTACGCAGCCACAAGAGACCTAATTCCATTGACTCTTACATAGAGCCAATTTTGATCATTAGTAGATCAGATTTTGATCATTAGTAGATCAGATTTTTATGTATAGGTAGCATGTAACTAACTTTTAATGCTTTGAACTCAGCTCCTGCTCCTGGTTACTTGCGCATGACATTTCTGCTTCTTAAAACAAAATACATGACATCTTTCCTAGTTTTTTAAAAAATAAAATGATAAAAATGAGATCACCATAGTTAATGTATTATCTGAATATTAATTTCAGGATAAATCACAGTTGAAAAATAGACTCTTTGTCTGTGATAAACCACATCATCTCAGAGTAGCCATACCATGTACATTTTTATCTGTTTATTTACAAGGACTTCAATCAGGTTCAACTCTAGACAAGAGACTGCTTTGCGATTTGATGAAAATGAGCATTTATTCAAACTGCTAATACTTTTCTTTATTTAATGTTGAAAGCTATTATGTGAGGAAACCAATGGAAATATTAGAGCATTTGTATTTAATATGATCTAAATTTTTTAGAGTAATCTATAGTATTAGTAGTATTTACTCAATAATATTAATTGGAAAATACAACATATTCAGGTGAACTATGTAAAGAATCATAGTTCAGATTTGCTCCAAGACTAGCCTTACTTTTTAGTTCATCAATACAGATAGTTTTCCATAAATCATTCTCACTTAATGAATGCCCTGCTTAGCAACTGTTGAAAACAGTCCTGAAAAAGTAACTTTACAAACATTCTTTGCACTTACAACCATTGCAATGCCCCTATCATCACATGATTGAAATTCATGTACAAATTTGCATCTTCACAGCTGGCTTCTCACAAGCATGTCAATAGATAAGCTGGCAATAAAATTACAAATTGCAAATCGTGGTCAATGTGATATCTCACTTAACCATAACCAAACCATGATTTGGTTAACCATGGTGGAAGTTGAAGTCATAAATCCATTGCATCATGTGATGTTAATGATCATATTGTTTAGTGATGGAATTGCTGATCACCACTGTGATCATTAAGTGATATCTGTAGTATCTAAACCTTTTATTATTTTACATGATGAAGGCAGATGAATATTTAATAAGCAGAGACTGAACATTCAATCTAAAATAAGTGAATATTGTTGAAGTGCTGATTTTAGCAGGTTGGTTTATACATTTCAAGTTCATAAAAAATAAAAATATTTAAAAATGGGTATTTAGTAATTCTACATTTTTCTTAATATTGATCAGCATTATATGATAACTTCGTCATAATTTTTCTTTATATTAATTTAAATATTATTATTCCCCTTATTAGGTTATAATTCTTACATTAATCTAGCCATGTTTTTATGCAACTAAATCAAATTCTTTGTCATCTTTTTTCAAGGGCTGAAGTCAAGTGAGTCAACCATGACCGGCAAAACACAGACCAGTAATGTCACCAATAAGAATGATCCCAAATCCATCAACTCTAGAGTCTTCATTGGTAATCTTAATACAGCCATTGTCAAAAAAGGAGATATAGAAGCAATCTTTGCAAAGTATGGAAAAATAGTTGGCTGTTCAGTGCACAAAGGTTATGCATTTGTACAATACATGAGTGAGAGGCATGCAAGAGCTGCTGTGGCAGGGGAAAATGCCAGGATCATTGCAGGACAACCATTGGGTGAGTGTCTGCATGGCCCCTCATATGTTCAATTTTTTTTTTACCTTTTTAGTTTCTAGAGTCATTTCTTTTATATCCAGCCTAAATCCATGTGAATTAAATTAACTGTATTTTGTATGCATTCTAGTAGTGAGCAAAAATTACAATGCACTTAGTATTCTTTACATGATAAAGGAAGTTTAGAACTACATAAATAGATATGTGCGTATAACTCTTGTGGAAGAACACCATGGGAACTTTCAACTGTGAGTATTTCTTAGACCCACAAATCCAAAGGTCAGCCCTTCAGCATGAATTATGACCTTGTTTTAATGTGCCATACTTAACATAAACCAATAGTTAAGATTTCGACAGCAAGTGTAACTGCTGTAATTGGAATGAAAACTTCCACACTCCTTATGTCTATAAAAAAGAAGAGTGCGAGTCTAATGTTTGCTGTGTTTGATTCATGAAATTCTAAACGATGGCATCGTGAAAGAATGGAGCTCTTTTGGCCTTTTAAGATATATAGGTACTCCTCGACTTATGAGCCCCAAATTTCTGCTGCTAAGTGAAACATTTATTAAGTGAGCTTTGCCCCATTTTACAACCTTTCTTGCTACAGTTGTTAAGTGAAACACTGCAGTTGTTAAGTTAGTAACATGGTTGTTAAATGAATCTGGCTTCCCCATCGACTTCGCTTGTCAGGAGGTCACAAAATGTGATCACATGACCCCGGGACACTGCAACCGTCATAAAGATGAGTCAGCTGCCAAGCATCTAAATGTTGATCATGTGACCATAGGGATGCTGCAATGGTTGTAAGTGTGAAAAACAACATAAGTCACTTTTTTCAGTGCTGTTTTAACTTCAAATGGTCACTAAATGAACTGTTGTAAGTCGAGAACTACCTGTAATTAAATTACAGTGCTCAGGATGTGTTTTGAAGTGCAGATAGGAGCTTCTTGTTAATTATAACCAAATTTGGCCTTTGACAGCTGCACCAGGAGACTGGAAGTCATGCTCATTATAGGCTTTCCTAACATAAGTTGCTGATACAACTTTCATCTTAATATTTAAGGGTATATTTAGTAGCTAGCAAATAATATATAAGGCATGGTATAATTATAGAAAATGACATAAGGTCAGCAATAGGTTGATTCAAAAAAAGCTTTATCCAGTCTGCTGCCCTGTAGAAGTTATTGAGGAATTTTGAAGTACTACAATCATTAGTGAGTTGGTATACTGCCCAGAAACCATCATTTTTATGAAATGACTGTATTGTATGGAAATTAATAAGATATGTTTTGTTATTTGTCTTTAGATGTATAGAAACTTGTTTGGAGTAATCTTTAAAATAAATAGGAGAAAAACACAAGCCAACATAGTTCAATTAGATTTTCTGGAGAAAGATTATGAACATGCACTAGACATTCTTCTCCTGTAAAAATTTACTGCCACCTTGCTTAAGCCATTTGTTCTCAGCTGTTCTGCTATACATACATAAACACACATTCATATATCTCTATTCTGCTTCAAAAGACTCAGGGTGGTTTATTAAAAATATAAGCCATAAATAACAAGCATCAGTTTCAGGAAGAAAATATTTTAACAGTAGCCCGAGGCCACCCTCTGCAATGAAGGTTTATTAAAACAGAAAAAGGTTTCAACATCTTGCAAAATTTCTAGCAATAACCCTGAAGATAAAATTTGCAGGATAATTGTATCATACACCATAAAGGGTGAAAATATTCTGTAGGATTCATTCCAGAGATTTTGACAAATCAAGTTTCAGTGGCATGTTTATAATTAATTGTTCTTATTCAAAATGCTGATTTTTTACTCTGTTCTTCTGAAATTCCCCATATTCTCTTTTTTCTTTCCTTTCCCTCACATGAGTTGGGTCCCCCCCCCCCACGAATATGCATTTATTTCCATGATATGTCTATATTTGCTGTCTTCCATTAAAATTATTGGAAGATAGCTCTTTGGGTGCATTAATACTGCATCCAATAGTTGTGCTGAATAGTTTTTAATAAGAACTTAGGTTATTAACTAATGTTATTTAGTCACTTGATTTAATAATAAAAGAACAAGATTGATGGAGTCAATTTGTCTGTATCCTGAAATCAAACATATTTGTGTTTATGTTTATTTTTAAGAAAATAAAACAGCCATTCAAACAAGATTTGATCGACTTCTGGAGCTGAACAACTATTACATTTTTGTCAGCAAAAAAACCCTTCCTTCCTTCCTTCCTTCCTTCCTTCCTTCCTTCCTTCCCTCCCTCCCTCCCTCCCTCCCTCCCTCCTTCCTTCCTTCCTTCCTTCCTTCCTTCCTTCCTTCCTTCCTTCCTTCCTTCCTTCCTGTGTGAGGAACTAATATGGCATAATAGTTAAGGTGTTGGATTAAGTGTGGAAAGAAGACTCATGTTCTAATCTACCTAGGGCCATTGACTATAAACAGTATTTTCTACTATTAATCTACTCTTGGCCATGGAAGTTGACTAGGTAACTTGAGGCTAGCCATACTTTCAGCCCCAATCTACCTCAAAGGGATACTGTTGTGCAAAGAAATAGAAGGAAGGACTATGCTGTCTTGAGCTCCTGAATGAAAGCAAGCTATAACTCCAATTAAAAATAAAATGAACATATATATTCATAATAATTTGTAGAAGAATCAAATGATTAAACAAAGATTAAGAAATCTCACAAAAGGGTCTGTGTTTAGTGGGTATAACAAAAGACTAAATACAGCTTCTTTGATAAATAAATTTCCATTCTGTGTAGTCCCTATAAATATTATTAAAACCTTGCCTCTCTTCAGATATAAATTAGACACTGTCTCCACCAAGAAAATGCACAGATTTCCTGGCACTCAGCGACATATAGCTCGAGGTAAACTAGTGGACACAGATAATTATTTTGGACAACATGCTCTCTTACTTGTCTTTGAAAGTAGTGTAGCCCTCCAGGAGGTTTTTAAATCACAACTCTAATAACAATACAACATATGGTATAGGCAATAAATAATGTCTTTAACAAAACAGACTGTTTATATATCTCTGTTGTATATTAGATTAATGTGGCAATTGGCAAGAGAGACTTTTTTTTTCTTTTTCATCACATATGCCTTGGCCATCAAATCTCTTTGAGTCTCACTGCTTGTCGTGACTTACCGATATGTAACATTTCAACTTCCAGAGCTTGTAAACTTCAGGGCAAATGAATTAATCACAGCAAATGCAGACTTCTAGACTATGAGTGATGTTACCTTTTATGACTACTCTTTCTCATTTCTAAAAGATAACCCTTTAATGTAAAACAGTTTCCATTCCATCAGGAAGGCCAAGTATTTATATTTTATTTTTTAGATAATGCAGAACATGGTTATAAAATGTGAGAAAAACAATCCAAGATGTTTTATGCTTTTCACAAAACAGAGACATTATAGCCATTGATTATTCATTTAGTAGTTTGTTGATCTATTCCACCTAGCTCTAGAAATTCTGGTCCTGTAACATTCAAATAAGGGATGCGATGGCTCAGCGGCTAAGATGCTGAGCTTGTCGATTGAAAAGTTGTCAGTTCAGCGGTTCAAATCCCTAGTGCCTCGTAATGGGGTGAGTTCCCATTACTTGTCCCAGCTTCTGCCAACCTAGAAGTTCAACAGCACGTAAAAAATGCAAGTAGAAAAATAGGGACCACCTTTGGTGGGAAGGTAACAGCGTTCCGTGCACCTTTGGTATTTAGTCATGCCGGCCACATGTCCACAGAGATGACTTCAGACAGCGCTGGCTCTTCGGCTTTGAAATAGAGATGAGCACCACCCCCTAGAGTCGGGAACAACTAACACATTTGTGTGAGGGGTATCTTTACCTTTACCTAACATCCAAATAAAACTGATTAAAAAGTGCACCATCATAGCATAAATATAAAGAAAGAATTACTGCATATATAATTCACTTCAACTCTAATGCTCCAAATGGTCTCTTAAAGATCCAGAATTTCATTGTTCTATGAAAAGGTAGGACTGTAGAAAAATATTCTACAGAGATGGGGTAGCCTTGAAAAGACCTCTTTTTGAGTTCATCCCCTTCCCAATTTATCAAGAGAAAAAATGCATGATTAGTTGAATGGGGTGGCAAATTTCTCTATGGAAGAGATGGTTTTATGTGTATTAAGCCATGTTGATTGAATTTCACTGAAAATAAAAGTATAGTTCCAATAATATTATTACAGCAGTCCTCACCCATCAGGATATGAGTCACTGCATTTTTCATCAAATGATGTTCTCAGGTAGTCTTCAAGGGCAGCTCCAAGTATAACATGTTACAGTAGTCCAGCTTCAAAGTTACAGTAATCCAGCTTCAACAGTGTAATAATGACTGTCACTAAAAACCTTCCACTAAAAAAAAAAGTTGCTATTGGTGCATCAACTAAAACTCGCCAAAGTCTTCATAGCCATGGTTCCTATCTGCTTCTCTAGCAGGAAACATTAAACTAGGAGGCCCAAATCTTGGACCTCTTTTTATAAGAAGTACAACTCTATCCAGAGTGCATAGAATACATAGAGACAGCTGATTTGAGGACAAATAACATGCTGTCTTACTTGGACCCAGTTCAGCCATTTTATCTAGATCCTTACACATCCAGGTAGCATATCATATTGGACATGGTTCTCCTTACACTCCTTTAATTTAAATGTTTACTTTCCTGGGTCATGCCACTATATCACTATATCTCAGAAAAAGGTGTAAGTCTTATAGGGAGAGCTAACAGTGAGAACAAGGTTCTCTTTTAAATCCAATTCTCATTTGCCCATTTTGGATCTAAATGCAGTCTACATCTACTCTTGAGATCTACTCCATTTATAGTAATTAATCATAATGTTGCCTATTTTTTATTTATTTAGCATATGGGAAATACATGGACTTATAATGGTTCAAATGTTAATGTACAGTCCGCCCAGCCATTCAAGGACAGGGTGGTCTATGTTGAAAAAATCAGACACTGAGCCGG